ACAAAGATTCTCATCATTAATGCCCCCGCAACTGGTGTAGGGAGTCCAAGACTCATATAAATATTAGCCTATCCATCAAGTACATGGACACCAAGTTTCAAGTCAATCGGATGCATGGTTCAGTAGTTATAACGGAACATCCGTAAAAACCACTGTAGATTTATATATTTGTACAGATTCAAATGAGAATAATTTCTTTGAAATAGGAATTAAAATCAAGTTGTTTCGTTCCAGAGTTATTTAAGCAAAACCTGTTCTACTACAAAATAATGATTAAAAGACAACGTGTTCATTATTTTAGTATTCGACTTCATGTCTCCAGGTAGCAGCTGCAGTGACCTTGTTTTTAATGCAGGTATTTTTCGTAAATTTTTTAAAGGCACATTACAGGGTACACGAAATTTCAGGGTCATATTTATGAGTATTTATGAAAGTAGTTATCGAATGTAAAAGTACATCGACAACGAGTATATCCTCACCTCCGAATTCTCTATTCAAACGCATTATTGCTATGAAGCAGAAATTAGCAAGATGCACCCATGCGTCCTGCCATCAGGAATAACAAGTCTCTTATCCAAATTCGTATTTTTTTTCATATGTCGTATCACTGTTGTCAGAGCGGTCGTGATCGTCATCCAGCATCATTGCTGTGGGCAGATGTTATGCGCCTCACGAGCAATCGCCACTCCTCCCGATTTGTGGTGAGTCTGGTACACTCATGCAAACAGCCGCCAACTGCCGACTTGATCTGGTCGGTCCATCGCATGGGCACCCTTCCACGCGGTCTGGTGCCTTTTACTTTGTCCTGAACGACAAGGCGCTCTATCTCCACATTCAATCTATATATATAAAAATGAATTGCTGTTCCTTAGTCTCGCTAAAACTCGAGAACGGCAGGACCGATTCGGCTAATTTTGGTCTTGAATTGTTTGTGGAAGTCCAGAGAAAGTTTAAAAGATAGTAGATAAATATGAAAATGCTCGGAATTAAATAAAAATAATAATATTGATTTTCCCATTGATGTGTCCTCCGTCGGACGGATTCTTTTTGTTTGTTTTAAGTTTATTTTATACAAAAGTTTAGGTCTTTTATTTATCGATTGAGGCACCACGAAGTCTGCCGGGTCAGCTAGTTATCAAAAAAAATCTTTTGCTCATACTTTAGCAAAATATAGGGTGTGTGATAATCGTATGTTATTTACGTAAGTGTATAATTTTATTAGTAGTTATGACTTTCCTCGGAACGCATAAAACCACCTATTGAAGAGGGTCTTTTGTTGATGGGCATCATAAAGGTTTGGAATACTTTCGTCATAATTCTTAATGATCAGTTTAATGTGTACTTTAAGTTTTATGTCGTCTGGTGATTGACGTTTTTTTTTTTTGCGTTCTTAGATATGGGAATATATATGAACTCAATAACGAAGGACGATGTTATCACGTTTTTTTTCATGTTACTCAACTGTTGATAGTCTCGTGTTATGGCTAGTTATATATAGATCTTCTTAGTCTGGAATAATATTAAGTATTTGATCTTAATTTCCCATACACCATAGGGATTTTTACACATTCCTTTTTTATATGGGATGTCGTGCGAGTAGTGCCATTTCTCGTAGACACTTCAAGGCTCACAAGAAACACAGAAGACGGGAATTCATTCCGGGATCAGGTAGGTAAAAAAATTTATTTCTTGAAACGTAATGCGAATAAAGAAAAGAGATTTTATTTAGTGAGAACGAACTCTGTTAAGTTGGCTTTTTTTATCGCTTAGGTGGGTGGGCGATCTCACGGCCCACCTGCTGTTAAGTGGTTACCGGCACCCATAGACACCTACGACGTAAATGCTGCCACCTACCTCGAAGCATAAGATCTAAGTCTCAGTTTTAACAGTACAACAGCTGCCCTACCCTTCAAACCGAAACGCATTACTGCTTCACGGTAGAAATAGGCAGGGTGGTGGTGCGGACTCAAAATGTCCTTCAACCAGTAATTACGCAAATTATAATTTTGCGGGTTTTGATTTTTATTATTACACGACGTTATTCCTTCACCGTGGAAGTCAATCCTGAACAATTGTTAAGTAGATATTTCATTGGAAAAATTGGTGCCTGCCTACGGGATTCGAACACCAATGCATCGCTTGATACGATTGCACCGAGTGTCTTATCCTTTAGGGCACGACGACTTCAAACTACGCTACTAACTACTAAATACTAGCTACGCGATTCTCTTCTTGAACAGACTATTATACAGTCTATCATGTTAAAATAAAAAGTAATATTTACAGAAAGTGTGTCTTCAATGTATAAAACTCTTTCTTACCAAATAATTACCAGTAGCCTCGACCGGCTATTCTGGTTTCACCGCATGTACTTAGTCCGGCCATAAATACTGTTACAATTAAAAATAAACAAAATATTACATTTGAATTTGGAATCTGTCATTTTTAATATGATTGCTCATTGAGTTTTCTCATTTTGGCGCCAATACATTGTACAATATTTTGCGATATTAAAATGGAGTGGGGTGATAAAGAGAACCGAATCGCTGTGATTGCATTACACAAAGTAGGTATGGAGTCAAATGCAATTTTTAAAACTCTCCATACGCTTGGTATTAGTAAAATGTTTGTGTACCGGGCTATTAATAGGTGCAATGAGACCACCTCTGTTTGTGACAGAAAAAGATCTGGACGTCCACGTAATGTTCGTACGAAAAAGGTGGTCAAAGCAGTAAGGGAAAGAATTCGAAGAAATCCTATCCGAAAGCAAAAGATTTTATCTCGGGAGATGAAGGTAGCACCTAGAACCATGTCGCGTATTTTATAAGAGACGTACTGGCCATTTCTTAACTGATAATTTAAAAGAGAATAGAGTGGTAAAATCGAAACAACTACTGAAGCGGTACGCAAAGGGAGGTCATAGAAAAAAATTGTTTACGGATGAGAAAATTTTTACAATTGAGCAACTTTTTAACAAACAAAATGACCGTATTTATGCTCAAAGCTCTAAGGAAGCTTCCCAATTAGTCGACAGAGTGCAACGTGGGCACTTTCCGACTTCAGTGATGGTTTGGTGGGGTATTAGCTATGAAGGAGTGACTGGGCCATACTTTTGTGAAAAAGGTATCAAAACATCGGCACAAGTGTATCAAGATACTATTCTTGAGAAGGTAGTGAAGTCCCTTAACAACACCATGTTCAATAATCAAGAATGGTCCTTCCAGCAAGACTTGGCGCCAGGTCATAAAGCTCGGTCTACGCAATTTTGGTTGGAAACGAACGTTTCGGACTTCATCAGAGCTGAAGACTGGCCGTCGTCTAGTCCCGATCTTAATCCGCTGGATTATGATTTATGGTCAGTTTTAGAGAGTACGGCTTGCTCTAAACGCCATGATAATTTGGAGTCCCTAAAACAATCCGTAAGATTGGCAGTGAAAATTTTTCCCATGGAAAGAGTGCGTGCTTCTATTGGCCTCAACGTTTAAAGGACTGTATTGCAGCCAATGGAGACCACTTCGAATAATCTTTTTATACTTTAAATTGTTTTATATTTATGTATTAAACTAACACACTGTAAAAGTAATAAATGTTATTTGCAATAGCATTTTTATTTTATTTTTAATTGTAAACAGTATTTATGGCCAGACTAAGTATAGGTGAACACGCGGGGCTTCTTCACAAGACTTCGTAAACGTCTGCCTTGGCAAGAGCAGTGTTTCGCTAAATCTAACGTATCGGAATGGCGAACAGCTGAGACGATCCGGCTAGAAACTCTATGAGCTGTGTCTGTGGGTTAATTTACTCGCCGAGCCCTTCGTCGCAAGCGACGTGTTCGACGAGGACTATGACCGGTGCTTGGGGTAAAAGCACCGTTAGTGGATCGGGAGGATCCGTAATCACCTGGTAGGTATCAACAATGACCGGCTGCTGTATTCATACCCATGCATACCCATTAGATATGCGTATGAAATTCATTAGAATGTGCGAACACTTTGAAAACCTCGTACAAGAAGCTGGCCACAATCAAAGTTTTTAGAATGGAGAAGTGTCCTTGAATTCAAGATGGGAATACACACAAGATGGAAACTCAGTCTGTGATTTGGTATTAATAAAATTTGAATGACGAACACTCAAGCGCTGCTAGTAAGTTCAGTACTCATAAAATTGATACAACAACAAACGACTATTTCATTGACCCAATGATTTAATTCGCGTCCTGTGACTGTGGCTAAATTGCTCAGCGAACCATGTCTTTCAAACGGTGCAGAAAACGAAGTGCACACGAACTCTTTAAATTGAATTCAGTCATCAATTTATCTAAACGAATATATTTTCGCTACGAAATCGTTGATAGCTAAGGGGCTATTCCAGGTACGCACGGGACTCAACCTGGGAGGATTCGCTAAAACTAGCCTTAGTAAGAGCACTGATTCCCTGAATCTACTATCGGATCGGATTCGCGAACCACAGAGAAGATTTGCCGAGAAACTCAGTTGGTTGTGGTATCTATGGGCTAAGTTGCAGAGACGACAAATACATTAATTAATGCAGTAACTCAGAAAAATTAATATAATATAATTAGTAGAAATTAAACTTAGCATTGCACATCACGAACGTATTCTAAAAATAAAATTTTCGGTATTAAAAATTCGGTACAAATGACACGAAATAAAACGTAGAAAATTAAAATTAAAATAAAGAGCATTCTTGTTGAATAATAAATTACTTAATTAGTTTAAAACGATAAAAACACAAATAAGTTTATTTATTTATTTATTTAGTTCTTAATGGCAAACAAAATTAAAACTGAAAATAAATGACCTACGTAAAACATTCTGTTTTAAGAAATGCATAACATGTCTACAAGTACATTCTCAAGACTAAATTATGGTCGTCAAATTTCTCGTACAGAATCCCGTTCTCGCGTCCGGTTGAACCCTAAAAGGATGCGTCCACGAGAGCTACAAGTAGTAGTTGTAGTCCCGAGTTATTTCGTTCCACGCCATCGCTCGCGCAAGCGCTTATAACGTTGCATTTGTAAAATAATTCTCGTCAAATACAAAAGTAATTTCGAAATCGTGTTATGTAAACTCGACCTTTAATGTACCACGCTTAGAAATTCACTGAACCGCAGCGTTCGGTCGGTCGAGGTCTTCCGAGTGAAGTTTTATTTGATTGTGAATAAAAAAAATATCGCGAATTCTTTTAGTTATTGGAATTGTGTGCTTTATATCTATGGAATATAAGGTGCGGATTACTTTAAAGACGACGAAACAGGTGTGCAAGTGACGCTTCTTATCAACATTTCAACTCCTTTCGAATAAGGTAAGCTGTTCACGCTAAAACCTGTATGCTAAGCTGCGTTTTATTACATTAAAAAAATAATGAAATTGGTAATTTATTAAATTAAATTTAATAAGTAACGTCAAATGTTTGAATTTTATTTGATTTGTAAACTCTGATTTTAAATGATTCTCTGAGTATTTCATTATTGTTCGTAGTTATTTTATTTTTATATTCTCTGGGAGGTCGTGACTCCGTCTGCTTTTGTAGAGAAATAGAAAATCCGGCGATTCCTAATCTCTAATCTAGTTCTCTCCAAGATTTTTCAAACAACTTTTTAACTCAATTATTAGGTTTACTTGTATCTGTGGTGTATCTTTCAACATAATTCTCACCAACTTCAAAACGACGGATTTAATAAATTTGAAAATTCGCAAACGTATCAAGGATAGAATATTTCGAAGGATTGACAATGTAATGTTTTTTTTTTACTTTCGCCTGAATATTCTAAGCTGCCAGTGCTGTTTCTACCAGGATAAAATAATAAAATGATTCTTTTTAATTCGACTTGCCATTTAAGCCTGAATTTTTAAAACGAAATTTACTTATGTCATCAATGTTCTTATTTACAATTACTTTGCATAAATTATACCGCAAACAATAAGATGGATATACCGCTGGTTGAAATAGCTGGTAAGGACTGGATGCCAAAGGCAAGAGATCGAAAAGAAGAGAGTGCATATGAAAAGACCTATACTCAACATTGGGTGGACGAAGGTTGAAAAATAAGAAGAAGATACCGCAAACAACATAGGGAATCTCCCAGTTCTCATCTCAATGCTCGGCGCATGATGTGTAGTTTATCATGACCCCATCCATAATTTTTCATGAAATTGCCACTTCTAGCGGTCTCCACTCTGGCTCAAAGTATCTGTGTACTTAACAGCTTCGAAGTGGTGACCAAGGGATTTTTTTTTAATGCTTTGCTTGGTGGACGAGCTCACAGCCCACTCGGTGTTAGGTGGTTACTAGAGCCCATAGACATCTACAACGTAAATGCGCCACCCACATTGAGATATAAGTTCTAAGATCTCAGTATAGTTACAACGGCTGCCCCACCCTTCAAACTGAAACGCATTACGGCAGTCCGCAGCGCGGACTCACAAGAGGTCCTACCCCCAGTAAGTTGTACATTGTACTTGAATGTGGAAGTAGCGGCCTTGACAACTGGACGTAAAATCCCCAATTAAATTTAAACAGACAGCTTCCCTACAGACATAAGCAGTATGGTGATAATTCCCACCAGACTACTCAAAATTATAATTCATAGCAGCAGTTCTTGGTAAAAGTGTCTTGGTGATAGTTTGATTTATCTTCTGACATCACTGGACCGGCCAATTACGTAAATAGCCTAAAACGTTGAATGCAAATATTTCTTCGTAACGTTGACGTAACTCATTAGGATGTTGCATTCTGTTTCCCAACGTTTGTTGCTATATAATTCTACAAACAAGAGTTGTTTTTATTCGGCTGCTTCCCGCGGCGGATGTGCATTACGTGATAATTCGATACGGGTTTCGTGTTTTAGCTTATGTTTTTTGTTAGTGCAGTGTAGCACAGACGGGCACGGTTTGATAATACTGATGCTTTATACCTTCGTCGTGGAGGTCGTTCGTGATCACGTGTTAAATAAGTGTTTATTTAGGATAGTCGATACCTGCCTAAGTATTTGAAGCTCGACATAGTCACTGTTATATTCGGGGAATGGAAGAACATTATTTAATAAATAAATAAAAATATCTAAAGCCATGTGGCCTAAATGATAAGATGCAAGGTGTACTGGTATCGATTTGACTATACTGGTGTTCAATTCCCGCAAGAATATTGATACCTCATGTTGGTCTTTCTAATGAAAGACACACTTAACGCATGTTCACTAATGACTTCTTCAATTAAAGAATAAAAACACGCAAAATAATAACTATATAATTTGCAATATTACCGAATCGGGTGGGTACAATCTTGTCTATTTCTGTCGCGATTCATGCCTTCCGGTTTTAAGGAACACCATTAACCAATTGAGGACTCACTCCAGTCTGGTGAAGCCGAAAGGGCACCTCGGAGCTACCGGTGATTAGAAATAAAGAGCCCTCACATCTCAAGGTGGATGTTGGCATGTGTATTGTGATGCCTATTGGTGGATGTTCAGTAACCATTTAACATCAGTTGAACCGTGAGCTCATTCACTAACTCAGAAACTTTACTTCAATAGGAAATAATTCGGAAAATTTATTTTCTTCTTCAAAGTGTCTCGCCCATTTGACACAACCGCTCGAAGCAAATAGCTTACGCTTTCGCCAAACGATTGGTACATTTTTAGCCACGATGTTGGCTTTCTATTTATAGCTTCGACTTCCACGGTGAAGGTATAACATCGTGTAATAAAAATTATAAATTACGTGATTACTGGTGGTAGGACCTCTCTTATTTTCCCCTATCTAAGCTGATGGTCTTAAGAGACCATTTCCGCGTAACCTTAATTAGTAGGTGAGCTCACGGGGCTCAAACCGGACGACGTTGCTAACACGAACCCTAGCAAGAGCAGTGCTTCGCAGAATCTACCACCGGATCGGAAACGCGACCCACTGCGAAGATCCGGCGAGAAACTCAGTGGGCTGTGTCTGTTGGTTAGTTTAATCGCCGAGCCCTTCGTCGCAAGTTCGGGTTCGACGAGAACGATGACCGGTGCTTGGGGTATCTAAAAGCACCGTTAGTAGATCGGGAGGATCCGAAATTATGTGTTTTGGGTGACGTCGAAGGAATAGCATCGTGTAATAAAAATGAAACTCGCAAAATTATAATTTGCGTAATTATTGGTGGTAGGACCTCTTGTGAGTCCGCGTAGGTAGGTACCACCACCACCCTGCCTATTTCTGCCGTGAAGCAGTAATGCGTTTCAGTTTGAAGGATGGGGCAGCCGTTATAACTATACTGAGATCTTAGAACTCATATCTCAAGGTGGGAGGCGGCATTTACGTTGTAGATATCTATGGGCTTCCGTAACGGTAACACCAGGTGGGCTGTGTGCTCGTCCACACCTATATGCAGTAAAAAAAAATAGCTAAATTTCCAGGGTTGTTAATTGAGGAAGATATTAGGATTTCCGATTATGCGTCCAAACTGATGCCCTCGTGATTTGGAGTCTTGATTACTTTTATATTGTTTTATAAATTTACGTAAATACCTAAGGATGATTCATTGGACAATGCAACTGGAAATTCAACTCAATGTGACAATCAATGGGGGCTTTGCGTTTTGATTTCAATGGGCTCACGTAATTCAGTCCAAATTGATAGTGAGCACGTCTGCTTATCAACGACGTTCTGAAAAACTGTAAACGATGCAGTTAGCACGTGGCTTATCTCGGAACCGCAGGTCATAAATCCTTATCATCGCCGTTTATTTCTTACGCCTACGCCCGATACCGAACCTGCCACAACGCAGTTTTGAAGGCTTTTAATTAAATAAATAAAATTTGATACCTACGTTTATATTTGTCCGTTATTGCTATTGTAAAATGCGTCATAACACATAGTTAAGTTTATGTCGTTTACATACATTGCCGGACATATATGGGATTTATAGGGCACTCTTTACCAATTACCCTAGGTGATGCAGAGAAAATGATGGTAGGAGTCTTCGGTAAATAAATTCCAAATACATGTATAGAAGCAAATATATAGAAGCAATACAACTACTACTTACAACACTTAAATAAAAAGATGAGTGATTTTTTAAAAACGCTTTTATTAGCTTCAGAGGTATGTATGTTAGTATGTAACGGAATCTTTGAACATGATTTTGACCCCCTTCAAAACGTCGGATTAACTATGGTATACTTATTAAAGACCGACGACAATTAAATATATAAAAAAAATTAAAAGAAAATTTGAAAAAATTGAAATTCAAGTAAAAAATGAAAAATAAATAATAATTTTAAAAAACTACAAAAATACGCTTTTATAGAAAATCTAACTAAAAAATTGAAAATAAATTTTAATAAATTTGAATTAAGAATAGTGTAAGAAAAAATTATTTTATTGTAAAAAAGCGTATTATGTTAGTTTTTTTAAACTATTATTTATTTATTTTTGTATTTCACGTAATATACATTGCTATTAGGGTTATTCTCCTCATCTTTGCGTCTATAATTCTCAATGCTGAAAATCGTACCCTCCTTTAATAACTTTCTCCTGGATTATCCTGCACCAGCCCTGCCTATCCTCGGCTGCGTCGATGGCATCGTGGACTGAAGTGTTGAAAGTAGCAGTAAAAAGCGCATTGGGTTTCTATCTCAGGGCCTTCTTCCGCACACCTTACCTGTTACCAGTAGCTTTTCTAAATTCTAGGTATACATTTTAGGTATAGTAAGGTTTGTGGTAAAACAATTAAATAAATCATGTTAAAGTTCAGGCAATTTTCGGATTGCCAAATAGCAACACTGTTGATGGGAGCAATGGCAGTAGTGGGGACGTGACATAATAAAAAAGGCGGTAGTCTGAAAAAACGGGACAGAAAGCGGTGTATTCGGTAGTGAGCAGATATCTAAGGAATGTACAAGTGGAGTTACAAATAAAGCAATACAGAATTAATTGAACTATTGCAAACTGTGTATTATTTCCTGACTGTTGGAAGTGGAGTTTTACAGTATATATGTCATTTCTGTGTCCTGTATTGTACTAGGTGGGAAGTTGAGCTCATGGGCTACCTGATGTTGTGTGATTATTAGATTTTTTGCCGCTACGTAATCGTTGGTATATTAAAGGGCTATCCCAAATACGCGCGGGCCGGTAGATGAGCTAACGGGCTCAACCTGACAGGATTGCTAACACACTATCGACTACTACAGACATCCTGCTTTAGAATTAATATCCTGCCTCGATGTTTGCTAAGCGTTATAACAAGTCTTCCTTCAATCATGGTTTGCGAAGAATACTCAGCGGTAGACTGCGGCTTGCTGTGTTGTAGCATTGCTAATGTCGCTGAGCACTGGTAACCACTCACTATGGGCCATATCATAGTCTGCAAGGGCAATGACCCCTTCAAACCGGAACGCATAACTAGTAACATTCGATAACTTTTTTTTTATTGCTTAGATGTGTGGACGAGATCACAGCCCACCTGGTGTTAAATGGCTACTGGAGCACATAGACATCTACGACATAAATGTGCCACCCATCTTGAGATATAAGTTCTAAGGTCTCAAGTATAGTTACAATGGCTGCCCCACTCTTCAAGCCGAAACGCATTACTGCTTCACGCCAGAAATAGGCAGGGCGGTGGTACTTATCCGCGCGGACTCACAAGAGGTCCTGCCACCAGTAATTACGCAAATTATAATTTTGCGGGCTTCATTTTTATTACACTATGTTATTCCTTCACCGTGGAAGTCAATTAGAATTATTTATTAGACAATAATGTTCCTTCACCGTGGAAGTTGTTTGTGAACACGTATTATGTAGTTCAAATTCGATACGCGTATGCTGTATTCTGATATGTATAGTAGATAGTATGTGTATACTTCATTATGTAAAAAAAAACATCGACTGATTTTTTTTTGTTTCAGGTTCTTAGTTATAAACATGACGATTCGCAGCATGACAGTTACTGAGGCGAGAGATGCGACTCGAAAACATTGCTGTGCAAGGTACGTAGGCGCATACAATAAATAAATCATTAATATCTTCACAACATGGCATAGGGACGGGCAAAGGATTTAAATTCGAACACACGTCTTTAAAAAACAACATTAATATTCCCTTTTAAAGATTGTTAGTATCGGGCGCTCTTAGTGCAAGATTTCTTAGATAAATTAAAAACTAGATTCTTATGTAATGAAATAAAAGTATAGAAATATAATAATAACACATACATACATGCATACAACAAACCAATAAAAAAACTTTTTTTTTAAATATATCAGTTTGCACGGTGATGACCAACGCTTCTACTGATTATAATCTACTCATCTCACAAAGCATTTTTTTTTTAATAAAAAGATTCTTCGTAATTACAAAAGAGACGTTGGCATTCCGCGGTATCAATGAGCCGTAACTCTTAACACTACAAATAGGAAGAGCTCCATCCTTTCTGATAAAAAAAAAACACAAGTCACGAGTTTTTTTTTTTAAATTGCAATTGCTAAGTCGAACTCACGGCCCACGATTAAATACCGCAATCCTTCAAACATAAGGTCAACGCCTCAATTATTGAAATTATTGAAAAGCTATTTCTATAACGGTAAACCCAATCTTTCATTCGGAACGTATGAATTGTTGGGCATGTCGCCGCGTGGATAATCTTAAAAAGCGACCAGCGGAACAGACGAAGAAGGGATGGCAATGTTCTCTGAAGATTGTATTCGCATAGTGGGATGGCCAGCCGCTATGGGTGTTAAGGTGTATTTTGAACCCTCGTGGATGGATACGACTATCGGGTCTGTTTCTGCGGCAAAGCGACTGTGCATTACGGCTTGAAGAGTCGGAGAACGTCCATTATAAAATACAAACCAGACTTTAGCCCCATTTTTTAATCGGCGCTATCGTTATGATGGTTATGAAAGCAAACGGTAATAAGAGAGGTCGTCCTAAAAATACTTGGATGTACATGTGAAAGAGGATAAGCGAGAGAAGTGTGTGAGTGCAGGGATGACTGGCGCAGCATATAGTGAGATAAGAGCAAGAAGAAGAACTGTTTAACGTTGTGATGTCCACGGACTTTATTAAGTGCTTAACAACAGGGAAGCAATGAACTCTACTGATTTAACGCAATAAAAAATATACGCTACAAAGAAACGTCCTCCACTTTCTTGTAGGAAAATGTACGGAAAAGAATTATCCAGAATAAATTGAAACACACAACGTGAATACTGAGTGAATTATCTTATGTTACCTTAACACTGTAAATAAAATATAATTTTCGTATCACGGTCGATATAACCGGTTTATGTTGGTAATGAAAATGTGATCAGTGCCATCGTAACTCGCTTCGTCATGATCAAAGTCATCGTGGAGGTCATCACCTCCGTGTCATTTCAACAGAAAATAGAAAACAACAACAACAAGGATGATATGTTTAGATGCAATCAGCGGTGCGAACAGACGCGATAACCTAAAAATAAATCTGGAATCCGATCGCAGCGCCACCTATCGAATTAAATTGTGAATGACAACCAACTTAAATACACGAAAAAAATCGGTTAGGAAGACTTCAGTGACAAACAGAATTCATTACAGAAAAAAAAAACTGCGACAACAAGCAAATTAAGAAGACTGTTGAAAACAGATCAATTAACTGTAGCTCCGTTGTCATCATCCGTCAACGCTCATCAACTATTGGACATAGGTCTCTCCAAATTTACACCACTGAGTCCGGTCTTCGACTTATCCTTGCTTATTCCTCATCCACTCATAGCCGGGCATCCTTCGAAAGTAATCGAACTACCTAGCCAGGGGATACTACACTATTTTTGCTGATACGTGATCTTCGCTTAACAACCCATCTTCTCTATCGCAGCTCCGCTGTGCCTATCGCTAATTGTATGAATGTTTACCATTAGATAACCCAAAACTCTCTTACATACAAGCCTTGTTCTGACAATTACAAACATAACGAAAAATACTTGCAAGCCCGTTAAGTGCTTCCCAAGTAACGCTCCGTCATACGTGTGAGAATTGATTTTTATTCATTTAATTAAAGCTCTATATGCAGCACCAAAATAACTTAAGTTTCCAAAAAAGCACTGCCTACCCTGTAATATTTAGCTTTTGTATTGCATTAAATAATCATGCCACAGTTCTGTACTTAATGATCTTCTCCTTCTCAAAGTCTCCCCACCACCCCCTTAATATTGTTTCACTATGAGCGTATTGTAAAACAGCACAAGTGAGCCATCACCATTCTACATACATTTTTCCACCACAAATCTGCTCCGATATGAAGAGTATTATTTTGTATTTAAAATAAATACCTGGTAGCATCACAAATTATCCACCTCATGTCACAAATTGGACATTCACGTTCACTTGGAATTATCTAGGACCGTAAAATCTTCTGGCCATCATCATGATCAGCCCACAGTCGTCCACTGCTTCACATAGACTTCTCCCAATTTACAACAGGGAGCCCGATTTTTTACTTCTAGCCATGCCCTACTTTTATAATTAAATTAAAAAAGTATAAAAGCTCTTTCCACATTAGTCTGCTTTAACAAAGTAAGCATGCCAGTGCCCGCTGCCAGACAGTGTATCCTGTGCGTATAAGCGGAAGTATTCTGTCTACATACTAATTACATTTACATAGTAATCACATTAATGTCAATCATGAGGTAGAAAAAGGGTAAAAAAGGTATATCTGCAATCAATAGTAACATAATAATATTCGGGTAATCAATTATCTAGAGGTGTATGAAACGACAAAGCAAGGATGGCGATCTGAGATCGGTAAATCGATGACTCGATTTTTTTACTAAGCATTTCGATTTTTTAATTGATATTCACAAATCAATCGATCCAGTGAATCTATGTTTTGGGCCACATGTCAGAATTAATTCCTCACTAATAATATAATTTAATCATTCATAATGACAACTCGTTTTTGTTTGTTTATGAAAATTACATTATCTGTGAAAATGTTCAGTTATTCTCTTTCATATTTCCCATTTACTTAAAACCTCGTATGGGCAAATAAATCTTCTTATGCCCTTTTTTGTGAACCGATTTTTCAGATTCCGATTCGATTCAAGATCGATCTTTTATGGGGATAATCGCCTACGCATGTGATTTTTCTGGTTATACCGAAGAAAAACCCTCCCTTCAAACTGAGAGAACGCGACTTCTTCGCGGCAGTATTTGGGAGAGGAATTACACCTACCCGTGCAGGCCTACTGTACACCGTACTATCAGTATAATTGCGCAAATTATGTTTTTTCGGGTTCAATTTTTATAATATTACTCGACATTATTCTTTCAACATCGAAATCCTTGGAATACAATCAATTGCGCGGAAAAATACAGCAGGAAAATATAGCCGGATGGTTGTACTTTTATACTGCTGTATCACTGTGCATTGACATCAACTTAAGTCTAACTTTCCAATAATTCGTTTATAAGCTATCGGTATTTAAAATCTAGTCTCGGAAAAATCCGTCCGCTAATTAATTTGCTGTCGCATTATGAAAGACACTTTTATCATTTTTTCACACTATCTGCCTAAACAGATGATTTGTTTATTGAAGACAAACATGAAATAACCTTGTAACACAATTAGTTGCAGTCGGCGGTCATCAAACTTAGGTGATTTTGTCGTACAAAGAAAAATAACTAGTTAAGTTAGGAATTATTAAAAGACCATTAAGTTTTCTACCTCTGTTTTCGTAAACATAACGCATAATAATTAAATATAAATGGGAATTAAAATTAATATCCATATATATATCAATGAATTGCTGTTCGTTAGTCTTGCTAAAACTCGAAAACGGCTGGACCGATTTGGCTACTTTTGGTCTTGAATTATTTGTGAAAGTCCAGATAAGGTTTAAAAGGTAGATACACATGAAAATACTCGGAATTAAATAAAAATAACAATGTTGTTTTTCCTTTGATGTGTCTCCCGTCGGACGGATGCATTTTGTTTGTTTTAAGTTTATTTTATACAAAAGTTTAGAGGTCTTTTATTTCTCGATTAAGGCACTACGAAGTCTGCCGGGTCGGCTAGTAAATAATATAAAATCTAAATACATACAATTAAATATTCATCATTAGTTTACGTATGTTCACTTTTGGGTATTGATCTAGGCCAGGTTCGACATTATATCTGGTCCAGCAGTGGCTGCGTCCAGCTGATTTCAGAGACCTTCAACAAGTCGTCGGCTCACCTAAATAATATGGCTGTTTGCTTAGTATCATCCATCACGTCGCCAACTCGTGACTGCACTGCCTTATCTGCGTTGCAATAGCAAATTGATTGTTCACTGATGCATTACATAATATCCGTGTTTTTTTTTATTTGGGCATGAAATTCGGCATATAACTTTTTCATAATTCGAATGATTTGAATTGCAAACGTATATTAATTTCTTCTTTTATTTATTTGTTAGCTTTTAATCGCGGCTTCCTTCGCATTAACTTACACCTTGTGCATCAACTAAGGTACAATATAGATATTAGTTTAGAATGCTTTTAGATAACAAACCATTTCATTTAAAGGACTACATATTATGGATGATTTACTTATTTACTTACACTTTTGAATTGATATCTTGATCACATGTCTCGACGTGAGTGGTGTCATTGTATGAACTCAAATCTTATACCTTTAAACGAGCAATTCTTGTATATATATAATCTGAATCTCGGAAACGGCTCCAACGATTTTCATAAGCGATAAATCGATCTAGCTACGATTTATTTTCAGAAAATGTTGTTTTATTCGTGTTTTCAATAATCAACTCTTCCCGACATCTATTGGCGAATAATAATACTATTTTTCTTAATTGAGGGAAACTGACCGCTTTAAAAACACAACAAGATGGCGTTATGAAAAAAAAACGAGCAAAGCTCGGTCATCGTCTAGTGACTACTTAATACCGGAGGGATCCTGAGCTCGTTCAATAATTCTAAAAATACAAGGAAACTCGGATTGAAATCT